CAACACATTGGTTCTGCTTCGTGGCAGGGCATTTCCATCTTTTTAAGCAGGTGACTCAAAATTAGTGACATGTTTCTAAGCTGAATTCTGACATGGCAGTTGGACATGGTACTAGCCTTAGTGGCTAAATATGCATTTTTAAGGCTTTTTATTTATTTCCTATTTTTTAACTTCTCTGCATTTGCAGTTTACTTTCCTCTACAGTACAGAAACAGATGAAACTAGTCCAGCTCTCAGGACATTGTTCACATTCTTGGTATTCAGGGAGTAGGGAATTTACTCCTCATTCTCTGCCTAAGAGACTATTTAGTATTGTATACCAATGATACGAACCCAAAAAAACCACTCTCTCCACATGTGATTGCTAAAAATGTAGTACTGTTTGTAAGAATGATGACTGTGAGAATAACAATAGTAACGATAAGGCAACAGGTAGATGCCAGATGGATGGCTGATAGCAGACAAGTCAAATGATACGCAAATAGGTTATAGGCGTTCTGTGAGTCTGGTCACACAGCGTGCTTATTCTGAAATACAGTGTAATGTATCACTGCACATTTTTTCTGGACAATATGGACTCCTTGCTTGTCACATACTACCAGAACATTATAGCAGCAAGCACGACATTAAAGCAGTAATGCAGTGATGTACTTCCTTAGTACTAAGTTTTCTTTAGAGTTAAGTGCAGCAGGAGTTACAAGGCTTGTTTTGTTAGCGGCTGGTGATTTTACAATATTGTTTTGCGAGGCTGGAGTAAAAATGGGATGTGAGAGAACATTCAATATTGATCTAATCTTATGCTTCTGCAGGTAAGTTCAGTTTTAATGTTGATATCTGGCACTGAGAACTTTTGAAAGTCTCTCCCTGAAAGAGTGAAATTAAATATTATACTGTTAATTTTAACCACCAATGTATATAGATTAGCATCTGTATTGCTGAAAAAGTCCATAATGGAAGCACACCTATAAAAACCTGAGCCTTTACAGCATGCTAATGGATTTCCATTAGGTCAGATAAATGTTTTCTGCTGAGTGAAAATAGGTACTTAGCAACAGTGCTTTCAGTTTGTTAGGAATAAATAACTGCTGGACAAATTGCTTCACCCTTGGGAATAAATCTGCACTTTCAGTGCTTGCTATTAAATCACTTCTTCAGGATGAGTCTTAACATCTGCAGATTCAAATGTGAGGATGTCAGTTGGATCCGGCGGCAAATATATCCTCCTCCTCCCGCGTTCGCGCTGCCATAACTCAGAGAAGTGACAGATGCTGCCACTGCTCGTGGTGCCACTGCCACGTCAGGTTGCAGGGCACTGTGCCCTGTGATCAAGCTGAAAAGCTGGATGTTAACCAGCCTGCCTCACCATCCCCGTTTGGACCGGCAGCAATACCGACCTGCCGCATGCAGCGAAGTCGTGGGCTGCGCAACGGAGGTCATCGAAGGATCCTGGAACTAATGTTATGTGGGGACCTGGTATCAGAGGATTGCTAAGGCAAAACTTCTGGTGTCATAGATAAAATAACAAGGATAAAGTCTTACAGGGTTTTTTTTTCCTTTTTAAAAGGTGTGGGAAATGAATTGAAGCCAGATTCTTTTATCTTGAAGAAAATACACACAGAAGTGAAAATGCATATTTGCATGTGTTCGCACTTGTGTCTTTTTCACAGCAGTTGAGTTTTAAATGGTTGTTGACAACTGACTGGACAGATTTCAGTTGCTAGAGAAGGGGCTATGGAGAGGTTCTTCCCTTGGTGTTTCTCTTCATCCCAGACTTTTAATCAGTGCTTCAAGTCATGTCAGTATCCATACTGTTTGCAACCTACGTATTCTCTCCTACATCTTCAAATAGCAAGAAACCCATTATCACATCTCTTCCTCCTACAGCTTGTTTCTTCTCATCTGAGAAATTCTACTTGAAACTTCTATTAATAGTGAAGAGGTACATTTACACTGTATTTTTTATGAAGAGGGTTCTTAAAAATGCTTTATAACTTATCCTAATGCAAATTTATATATGAGGATCTTAGCTCTGGGGCTTCTCAAGGCTATGCTTCCTAATTGTTTGGTATGTAACTAATGGGCTCTACCACCAGAAATAAATCATTAAGTGCTCTGCTTCCCAGATACCCAGCTGGAGGCTGGGCCTGACTTTGTGTGTGTTAAACTCCTGCTCTCTGAATGTCAATCCACTTTGAAGTCTGATTCCCCATTAATTAATCTGCTTCTGTTCCACCTACACTGTGCGTTTCTGCTGCAATTTAAAAGCATGGATTCAAATTACGTCAGTCAGTGCAATTTAACCCAAATGACCACTTCGCGAAATGTCTTTGGGAGACATTAGTTTTTCACTGGGCAGTGCACGGTGCTGGGGCCGGCAGAGGCGGCGAGCCTGGCACTCCCCACCGGCAGGATGGCATTGCGAGTTTGAGACCAAATACAGCGTCCCTCAGGGCATTTGATTGACCTTAGGTTTCTCTGACGTCTGGAGTTGTCTTTGTATTCAGAGATACAGAAACCTGAATAAGGAAAAGAGCCCTAGATGGTATTTTCTTTATTTTTTTTTTTTCCCCTGTGATTTTTTGTCTTAAAGTCTGTGAAGCTCAGTGTACCTACACAGAGGCACGCTGAGCGTGTCGGGATGGCACCGGAGTGGCTGTAGGCCAGAGTTCCAGCCTTGGCTTCCTAAAGACGTCGTGTGCCATTATTTAATAAGTATGAGGTTTGCACAATAAAACTACGTTACTCATTTCTTAGACAACTGAATCCTCTTTTTCTCACCCACTTGATATAATTGGTAGTCAAAGCTGTGTTTATATGTGCAGTTTTGACTGGAGCTACATTTGTGAAATACTCTGAACATACGGATGTACGTAGGAGGTATTGGCTAAATAACCCTTACTTGTTATGCACTGTATTTCTCTTTTCTCCTTTGCAAAATTTACTTTCAAAGGACAAGATGGCTGCTTGGCAGTCGGAAAGAAAAGACACTGCCTACATTTAATTCTGAAAGATGATAAGATTATTGGTATATTCCTTCTCAGAAAAAAATTGTGAAGACAGGTTATTGAAAAGAAGGCTCCTGTGGTCTCTCATGTTGTTGTAGTTGCCTAATAATATTTTGGCAAAAATTGTGTTTGATGAAAATCAGCTGATAACAATTCAACAGGGATGCAGGAACAGCATCTCCCATCCGATGTAAAGGAAGTATCTCCATCACTTCTAACATGTACTTAGGTGCCCAGCTCCTGTTGAAGTTAGTGCATGATAGAAATTTCTTTATCTTTATGGATCTAAATTCACAAAATAAGACATCATTCATGCCTGTGTAGAGCTAGTTCATTCCTGAATATTTATTACCTATAAAATTAGTTTTCTTCCTACCCTTCACCCCTTCAGGCAAGATCTCCTGATGGGGGCTTGTTGCAGGCAGGATGATGGCATTTGTTCTGCTATTGCTTGTGTTGCGATTTTTCTCGGATAAAAGACTTTATGAGTAACAGCCAAGGAACAACAGCAGCGTGAGATGTTCCTTATAGAAAAGATGGCATGGGGACTCAAAAAATCTTATCACTCTATGATTTTTGTCTTAACTTGCAAAGAAAATAAGTTTATAATGAGTACAATATAATAATGTAGGAAAATAAAGTGATAAGCTTTTTCAGTAATGTAAGCCTTTTTACAGTTAATATTACATTGTCTTCCATTTCTTTTACATTAATTGTTTTTTTCTTTAAGACCTGATTTTTCCTTACCTGGGCTCAGCCTTAGTGGGATAGTGATCTTCTTATTTTTATCTTTAATGGGAAAATCTATCAAACTCTTTCAGCTTTACAGAAAACAGGAAGATCTTTCTTCCCTGCCCCTCCTCCCCAATATGCTAAAAAACTTTCCACTTAGAAAAAGCTACAATGTCTTATTTTTAACTTCAAAGTTATTCCTGACCCAAAAAAACCTGTGAGAACAAACAAATACTCACCACAACCGTGAGATACCAGCAAGTTCACTGCAGTCATTGGAGTGGTGAGTTTAACTTGGGAAGACAAGCTGTGGGACTCAATTGTTCTTCAATAAGGTGGAAGGAGGAATATTATAATGTGCAGTGAATTGGAGAAGACATATTGTCGCTTGCCCTGTGAAGGATGTCTGCCTCTATGCCATAAAATCTTGCTCTGTATTCCAAGAAATGTCATTTAAAATGTAGAATGAGTGCACAGCAGGA